ATCCCTTACCAACATTTGACATTATTTGCCAGTTTTCTTTTATTACTATTTATCTCCTCCACTACAGTAGCTCAATGAGGAGCCAGGCCTCTATTCTCCTTATTCCCCTTTCTATCACTGGTATCTAGAACACAGCCTGTTTACTTACAGTAGAAACTCAAGACCATCCTGGTCAACAAGGTGAAACCCTGTCTCTACTAAAAATACAAAAATTAGCTGGGCATGGTGGTGCGCGCCTGTAGTCCCAGCCACTCGGGAGGCTGAGGGAGGAGAATTGCCTGAACCCAGGAGGCGGAGGTTGCTGTGAGCAGAGATCGTGCCATTGCACTCCAGCCTGGGCAAAAAGAGCGAAACTCCATCTCAAAATAAAAAAAAAAAAAAAAAAAGAAACTCAAATACTTGTTGAATAAACACATTACTTCTAATCACTATTAAAAAATTAATTGAAAGCATTAAATTTGTAATTCAAAGTAAAATTATAAATTTAAAACAGTATAATCTTAAATGAAATATTCTACAGGTCTCTTGAATAATCATGCATGTAGAAGTTTATCTCCTATTTTTTATTTATGAGTTGAACTTTTAAATTTTTTTCATTTAAAATAATTCTAGGGGGTCCAAAGTGGCTCCCGCCGGAGGTCATGGCGCTCGCGAAGGCGAGGTCATCAGTTCAAGGCTAACCTGAGCAACCTCATAAGCCCAAACTGATTGGCAAAAAAAAAAATAAAATTAAATTAAAAATTAAAAAAATAATAAAATAAAAAAAATAATTCTAGAGCCTCTGCCTATAAAAAATTGTTCAAACACATAAAATAATCATCTTTTATTAGAATTTTTTTCAGTATTCCTACAGAATACCAGAGTCTTCCCTTCTTCTTTAATGAGTATTTCAAGTATATATAGCTTAGATATACATAAAACCAAGTCAACCCTGAATGTATTAAAAATAATTCTTAAAATCAATTTCTCTCTTACTTCATTATCAAGAAAACCTAATCAATTCACAATGTTAAAAATAGCTGAAGTCTACATTTTTAAAAGGAAAGAGTATATTTAACTAAACATTAGATTTGTGAACCCATCCCAAGGCTGTTTAATTCTTTTAATTCAAATCATGCTATAAATTCAGGGCAGGTATACCAAATTATTGAAATGTAAATTGACAAGCTGCCTTTTTAAGAAACCCATCATAAAATGTGCCTGGTGCACAGTAATTAACAAGTCTTATACCTGATTTTATTTTACTTAAACTCTAAAGATGAAGCAAGTTTCCAGCAAAAATGTATTTGCAACGATTTAGCCTCCAAACAGAATAACTAATTTTAACAGCTAAAACCATGAACTAATAGCTATAATTGCCCATCTCTGGATGGAGGGCAGACAGGTGGATTTGCTTCAAATGCTAACAAAGATAGAGGCATGAGGATACATGGCTTTTAATAGAAATCTCGCTCCATGGGTTTGCTGACACATCAATTTTAACATATATCATCCATTTTGTTGTCCAACTAACCGGTACTTCATTACTTTGTGTGTTTTGAACACACAGTTTATTATAGAAAATGAATACGCCCATCTTCTTTTTGCCCTTGTAAAAGGATGCAGGGATGCAGTAGGTATAAACGGAACGTCAATAAAAAAGATGACTATTAAAATTTGAAAATAGCAGAAATAAAGGGTATTCAAATAGGAAAGGAGGAAGTCAGATTATCTCTATTTGCAGACAACATGATTTTATATCTAGAAGACCCCATAGTCTCAGCCCAAAATCTCCTGAAACTGATAAGCAACTTCAGCAAAGTCTCGAGATACAAAATCAATGTGCAAACATCACAAGCATTCCTATACACCAATAACAGACTTAAAGAAAGCCAAATCAAGAATGAATTACCATTCACAATTGCTACAAAGAGAATAAAATACCTAGGAATACAACTAACAAGGAATGTAAAGGACCTCTTCAAGGAGAACTACAAACCACTGCTCAACGAAATAAGAGAGGACACAAACAGATAGAGAAACATTCCATATTCACTGTTAGGAAGACTCATTATCATGAAAATGGCCATACTGCCTGAAGTAATTTACAGATTCAATGCTATCCCCATCAAGCTACCAATGACCTTCTTCACAAAACTGGAAAAAACCACCTTAAACTTCATATGGAACCAAAAGACAGCCCGCATAGCCAAGTCAATTCTAAGCAAAAAGAACAAAGTGGGAGGCATCACAGTACCAGACTTCAAACTATACTTCAAGGCTACAGTAATCAAAACAGCATGGTATGGGTACCAAAACAGAGATATAGACCAATGGAACAGAACAGAAGCCTTGGAGGCAACACCACACATCTACAACCATCTGGACTTTGACAAACCTGACAAAAACAAGCAATGGGGAAAGGAGTCCCTGTTTAATAAATGGCGTTGGGAAAACTGGCTAGCCATGTGCAGAAAGCAGAAACTGGACCCCTTCCTGACACCTTACACTAAAATTAACTCCAGATGGATTAAAGAGTTAAACATAAGACCTAACACCATAAAAACCCTAGAAGAAAACCTAGGCAAAACCATTCAGGACATTTGTGTAGTCAAGGACTTCATGATCAAAATACCAAAAGCATTGGCACCAAAAGCCAAAATAGACAAATGGGACCTAATCAAACTCCACAGCTTCTGCACATCAAAAGAAAGTCATTAGAGTGAATTGGCAACCAACAGAATGAAAAAAATTTTTTTTAATCTACCCATCTGACAAAAGGCTAATATCCAGAATCTACAAAGAACTAAAATAGATTTACAAGAAAAAAACAAGCCCATTCAAAAGTGGGAAAAGTATGTGAATAGATACTTTACAAAAAAAGACATATATGAGGCCAAAAAACATATGAAAAAAATGCTCACCATCACTGGTCATTAGAGAAATGCAAATCAAAACTACATTGAGATACCATCTCACACCAGTTAGAATGGTGATCATTAAAAAATCAGGAGACAACAGATGCTGGAGAGGATATGGAGAAACAGGAACATTTTTACACTGCTGGTGGGGGTGTAAATTAGTCCAACCATTGTGGAAGACAGTGTGGCGATTCCTCAAGGACCTAGAAATAGAAATTCCATTTTACCCAGCAATCCCATTACTGGGTATATATCCAAAGGATTATAAATCGTTCTACTATAAGGACACATGCACACGAATGTTCACTGTAGCACTGTTTACAATAGCAAAGACCTGGAACTAACCCAAATGCCCATTGATGATAGACTGGACTGGGAAAATGTGGCACATAAATACCATGGAATGCTATGCAGCCATAAAAAATGATGAGTTCGTGTCCTTTGTAGGGACATGGATGAACCTGGAAACCATCACTCTTAGCACACTGACACAAGAACAGAAAATCAAACACCGGATGTTCTCACTCATAGGTGGGTGTTGAACAATGAGAACACATGGACACAGGGAGGGGAGCATCACACACTGGGGTCTGTTGGGGGGAAATAGGGGAGGGACAGTGGGAGATGGGGCGTTAAGGAGAGATAGCATGGGGAGAAATGCCAGATATAGGTGATGGGGAGGAAGGCAGCAAATCACACTGCCATGTGTGAACCTATGCAACAATCTTGCATACTCTTCACATGCACCCCGAACCTAAAATGCAATAAAAAAATAAATAAATAAAAATAGAAATAAATTTGAAAATAGCTAAATTTTGGAGATTTAGATTATAAAAGACCAACTTCTCAATTTATATATAATATAAAGTTATTTTAAAACTGCAAACACTGACAGGCACAGTGGCTAATGCCTGTAATCCCAGAACTTTGGAGGCCGAGGAGGGCGGATCATGAGGTCAGGCATTTGAAATTAGCCTAACCAACATGGTGAAACCCTGACTCTACCAAAAAAAAAAAAATTAGCCAGGCCAGGTGGCTGATGCCTGTAATCCTAGCTACTCAGGAGGTTGCCTCCCAGGTTCAAGCAATTCTCCTGCTGCAACCAAAACTGTACCACTGCACTCCAGTGTGCATGACACAGTGAGACTCAGTCTCAAAAACAAAGAATGCAAATACAAATTTATTGTATATATCTTTTCAGAATGTAAAAGTCTCTGTATCTCTCCAGTCCTCAGGGTAAAAATCACTATTTCTTATGAAAAATTATATGATTCACAGCTAATCAGTGTAGACAGAATGACAGAATTAGAAATTTTCTCTTCTGGAATCACAGTAACTGATTCAGATAAGAGCAACATGGATCTTAAAACCCCAAAGAATCATCCCAGATGATTCTTTGCTAATCACAGTGTGGGATCCTTTCTTCATAATTGAGATACTTAGTGTCATCACCATAACCAAGTGCTTAAGCTTAACAGTACTACTAACAGGGACAGCATGTGCCTTCTAATGATGTAATATGAAGTCACAGTATCATCTATGACATACTCTTGCCATAAATGTCTAACCTAAATCAGGCACCTAAACTCTCAGTTTGTAGAAAATGCTCATATGAGTTAATATCCTTTTAAGTTACATGTTACCATAAGGAAACACCTAGGAAAATCCTAGCCTGATATTTTCAGAATATCAATGTCACTTTTAAAATGGGGGATAACTGTCAATTGAGAGAGAGTAAAAAGATGTAACAACCAAACATAATTTATGAACCATGATTGAGTCCTCAGTCAAAAAACTGTTAAAAAAAAAAGACACATGGGATTAACATCCTGAAGAATTGAAGGGTAAATTATCACAATGTCTGTAACTTACTTTCAAATGGTTCAGCAAAATAAAAACAGAAATATATATGCAAATACGTATGTGCAAACACACACATGCAGAGACAGACCCAGGTATGCCAAAATGTAATCTGCTAATTAAAGGTGTCCAGTTCATGGGTAATCAATATCCTAGACTCTCAATGTTTCTACATGCTTGAAAAAACTCAAAATAAAAAGTTGTTAAACTTTTGCAGTTTATGTTCAACATTTACGGTACCTGGCTCTTGAATGACATCTACCTTCCCCACACTGATCTGAAGTATTTCACCATTCTTTGCAAAAGCCTCCCATTCTGAATCAGTCTGCTGGCAGGATGGACACCATGGGGCATAACTAGAAGAGAAGAATAAGAATTATAGTAATAAACATATGGGAAAAAATCTGTAAAACAAACTAGAGTAATAGAATATTTAAATTAAAAAATAAATTCTTAGAAAGAAGAATTATAAAAGGAGGCTTTTCCAAAGTCATTTAATATAGAAAACCAGAAGCACATTGTTCTCCCCTAGGATTTAATGTATGAATGTCAATTCTATAGGAAAAAAATTGGCCAAAGTTTGAGAATATTTCCAATAACTATTATTAACCATAAACATTTTATTTCAATGTTAGTAGTACAATTTTCTTACTCTCCAGATAGCTTTTGATTTTTGAGGGGAAGCACTCCTTTTACTGCCTCACTAAAGGAGGATAATTTTCACAGGGTGCACCTAAACCAGCAAAACCGGTTTCAAATCCATCAAAGCTACAGATCTGATGGGCAGAGATCAGATCTGCTGCTTGAGCATCCTCAACAATGTTTCCAAGATCTATGGCAATTCTGAACTATTCTGAAAAGGAAAGTAGAAGCTATAGGCTAAACCAGCTCTAATCCAACACTGTCTTAAATTTAGCAGCAGTTAAAAATACCTTGGCTTTCAAGTCAGAACTCTACTTTTTACAGTAATTTTTCATTCAGTAAATACTAAGAAAGCACTATAGTAGAAGCTGAGGCAACAGTTGTGAAGGAGATTTGGTGCCTCCTCTCCTTGTGGATGGTACCATCCAGAGATGAACAGAGAGAAGCATTGGGGCAAACACTATTACTACTCTTATTTTTGTGTCTGTTTAACATTTTTCATAATAAAGGCTTGAATCAATAGAGAAATATACCAACTTGTGGATGAGCAGGCTGAGCATTTTTAAAATGTCAATGTTCTCCAATTTATTTTTCATTTGTTCCATTCCTGAATTGTTATTTACAAAATGTGGCACCTATTATGTTTGTATTAAGGGAGGAAAGGGGCCAGGGGAGAGAAAGTAGAAAAGAATGCCTGCCAACAAAATATAACACTCTCACACACAAAACGCCTTAAGAAGGGAAGCAAAGTAAGGGAAAAGTAAAAAAATTGATCAAATCCTCTAACAAGATTTAGGCTCAAAGGTGCCTGTCAGGTCACTATTTACAAATCCCCTCAACATTTTGAACTGTACAAAAAGCATGTTGATAAGTACCATTCAAAAAAATCAGTGCAATTACACACACAAACCAACTTTGCTGAACAACAAAATAAAAACAGAAAGCTGAAGTTGGGCAAGATTTTGATCTTTCACATTATAAAAGAGGAGTTCAGGGTTAAAAAGCCAAGACTAGGAGAAGGAATGCATGTATTTCATGAAAAGTATTGAAAATTAGGCAGAACCCAAAAGAGAACTGGCTACCTACCCAAAGCCAAAGCATTCATTACTCTCTCCAGCCAGGCCCCAGAAGCAGCAAGACTTAGCAAGCACAGCTGTTCACCATTTCTAGAAAAGACTACTTTACAGCTGATTCCAAGATCATGCTAAAACCTCATTAATCTTCCCATTAGAGCTCACTGTCCAAATTCTGAGATCCAGAAGAAAGGAATAACAAAATAATCTGCAGACATCTTTCAATATGGATTTTGTAAAACATTCGTGACTCTCTATTTCCAGGGAAAAAAATACATTATTGATATATGGTAGGTGTTCAATAAACATTTGCTGAATAAAGAATTATATCAACTTTAATGAAAATCATATTCTTCATCTGAGAAAATAGTTACTTTCTATGTAGTTTCTAAATATCGAAGTAACAGATGAGACTCAGGCAGTTGGCAAACTTTAGGGGAAAAAAAAGGAATTCTGAATTATTAAGTAAATTTCAACAGGCATTCCATGATATTGGATAAGAGCTCTGCCAGAGCAATCAGAAAGATCAACCAGGAATTAACCATGGTATTCTGGGCAGGTTAATAATCTCTCCATGCCTCAGCTTCCTCAGTTGTAAAATGGGATAATTATGGTAGCTATCTTAAAAGGTTATTGAGAGATTAGATGAAATATGAAGCAGGCACATACTGCTTTAATAGGAGCAATCATTAATACAAATTACATTTGTAATATTATTTGGGGTCCAAGACATTTTTACAATGCATTAGCTCATCTGACCTTACAGCCTCACTGCCAAACAGACAAAGCAGGTATACAGACTTGCTTAGGACCACTCAGAGCAAGAATCCAGAGAGGTATTTCTTTGATAAAAATCATCAAAGATTATAAAACTCTACACTAACACCCAGAGGGAGAAAGAGAGAAGTTATAGGAAAGTAACAAGAATAAGGAAACTATCTTGAAGTGTAACATAATGAACTTCAGATCCTCTTTATTTCCCTAGATTCTCTTTGCATATAAGTCAGAGGCACATTTTTGACATCAGTAATTATTAAATCATGCAAATTTCATAATTTAAAAAATCTCAGGCTTTAATCTCTAGATAGCCTATTACATACGTTTTTTAATGGTGAAACTGACGTTCAGATATACAATTATAATACATCCTCAGATATGCCATTGAGGTAATTTTAGATATGCCATTTCTACATAGCTGCTATTCACTGGTCTGTGGCACTGTTAATGGCATTATTTCACAGATTTAACCAGAGCTGATTTGTGTTGGAATGTGCCCAGTTTTCAGTGGCAGAGATAAGCCAGCTCTGAGTCCTTAGCATGGGAACTGGTCCATTGTTGCTGCAGTTTTTAACGTTTTTAGTATTCTTTCGTATATAAAGAACAGTAATTTGTGCAAAAATTTAGAAACTAAGTAAAATACCTCCAGGGACAAAATGAATGCAAGGATAAGTCATGTGACCTTCATGCTCTTCTCTCACCGTGTACATATACATACACACATATATATATATATATATATATAATTTATGTATATATGCATAAATTAAACATCAAAAAGAACATGAACATGATCTTCATTAGTAGTTATTTCAAATTAGTGCACACTGGCAATCTTATCCTAAGAACTGTAAGAGATATGACCTACCATAACTTTGTCTCTTACACATAATCCTTAAGAGCCTCCAAGAGCAGTTAGCTCCATTATAGTCAGAGAAACTGTAAATCAGTATCTTTTCTACTGCACTTTTGTTGACTCGTTTGCAGGTCACAATGGTATGTAAAATTAGTAAACTTCATAAAGATATTTGAAATATATTCCAGATAGCCAAAAAGCTCTGCTAAATTACACCAACGTATATACCAGTGCAGTTTTTAACCATTTCTGGGAAATGAAATTCAACAGCATGCTTTTGTTTTCCATGTTAGTATTCATGTCCAAAGTGACCTGAGGTCCTGCCTGATGTAAGGTGAAGGACCCTGAATCTTTTATTCCATGAACTTACCGAATTTGGTGTAAGATTTCATTAGCTACGCCAAATATTTCAGAGAAGGGCTGAATTATATTTCCTAGAAAGGAAATTTTATTTATGATAAATTTTTATTTACCAATAAAGAACTCTTCTTCTGTTTTGACTCTAATTTCACCAGTGTTTCTCAGTGCACTCTTTTCTCCTTTTTCTTTCCGTGCAGAAGTGAGATGGCCAAAAACAAATCCAGTCAATTTTCACTTAGAAGAACTTACTTTGATTAAAATGCTCAGAGTACTCAGTAACAATGAAGAGGAAAAAGGTATGCTAGATTCATCTTTCTACAACTTAATAAAGGAAACTAAATCAAAATGTCAACAAAAGAAGTCTTAACTACCTCAAGTGTCATTCTTCTTTTGGGCAAATTGTGGAATGACTCATGAATTGAAAGTCTTATGCTCAAATTTATTTATTTGGACAATAATTTCTAGAACATGCTATCACAAAAGATAAACATAAAAACTAGCAGCTCTATGAAAATCATAACACTGCTAGAAAAAGTGAAATTCATGATTTTTCACTAGAATTAACACTCCAGGAAAGTAGGGACTGCTGCATCACCTGCACCTAGAACAGAGCCAGTAAAGTCCTAGGCCACCACAATAAATATTCCATTAGTGACCCCATGGGAGATGACAGCAATTATCCTTAAGACTTCAGAAGATATATAAAGATGTCTCCTTCAGTGATATGCTTGAAGAAGTGCCTGATTAAAAGAACAATTAGTCTATTATTCACTCATTTATCTAGTCACAAAGTATTTTTTGAACATGAACTACTTGTGAGTTATTAAAGCACTGGAGATAAACAGGGAAGGAAAAAATAACCTTGTTCCTTTACTTAAAAGCTTAGAATAGAGGTAGTCAAAGAAAGACCTAGTACAAAAGTATATAAATAAATTTATAACTACTACTTGTGACAGGACCCTGCTAGACACAACCAAAGCATAATGAGATAGAATTTTCCTGCACGTTGGGATGTTGGGGGGGCAGGACACCTGTTTAAGTGGTGAACAGTGTCAAGAATGGGCATATACTAAAATGTTCTTTACTTGCAGAAACTAGAGAGGTGGTAAGAGCTTGGATGGGCCTTTGAATCCTTTAAGAACAAGGCCTCCTCTCAGGTGAGTCAGGTTGCTGGCCAGACGAGGGCCTAAGCAAGAGTCAACCAGGTTCTGTGCCTCCTTCCAGGCTCCCCACAAGAACTAGGAACTGCATATCAAAACCTGCAAAGCTCAGGCCGGCATTAGAGTTATGGCCTTGCTCACTACTTACTAAGGATCTGGCATTAGCCAAAGCTTAAATCTTTTTTTTTTTTAATCTCCCCTAGTCGGTAAGAATAAGAATAATAATTCTTCACTAGATTTCTGGGATGATCAAATAAAATAGTATTTGAAACATGTGATGTAAGCAACTAACTGTTAAGTGTCATTCTGATGAGGAGGAGGAGGAAGTGGAGGAGGCAGATGCAGGTGATAAGTGTGACAAGTTTTAATGAGACTTTAAACCCTTTGTGGAGACTATCTAAAATCCAACATTTGCATGTTTTTAAATACCAATAACAGTACCTAAAGCAGTGGTTTTCAATTAGAAGCATTTAGTAGTGTGCACAGGGGATGGGAGCTATAAGTTTTTGATGTCACATGACTGAGACTACTACTACAATATAATGGGCAAGGATGCCAAAGATTCTGCAACACGTGGGCCATCCCTACACACCGAAGAACTGTCCACCAAAAATGCCAATAGTGCCCTGTTGGGAAGCACTGATAAATGTCCAACACAGAGGAAGCATTCAGGAAAAATTTACTAAATAAATGAACATAACTTACACAACATATTTCCTTCAGAGCACAGTAGGCCAATCTCTTGGAAACCTCATTCTTCTTTACCTTCCCAGGTCCCCAACACTGAACCTGACATAGAAACATTTAATGACTCTCTCTCAAACATTCCATCAAGACCTCAAGGCAATGTATTAAAATGCAAAAAACTGTAACTATTTCACATGGGCAAGCTAAGGCAATGATGTTCAACACATTCTCTCCATGTATAAAGGAAGACTGGAAAGACAATACTAAAACCCAGAGGTCCTACAGAAATAAACAAAGCTTTGATCTATCACCAGGAGTTTAATTTTAATTTTGAAACATGATCATCCCAAGAACAAAAATCAGAAAAGGCAATAATTTATAAAGATTTATATGCTTTGCAGAGGTAAATTAACCCAAAGACATGCTTTTCCTCTGATTATCAGTTTGAAGATCAAAATCAAGCCACTTGGCTATTTCTTCTGGGTGGAAAAAGCCACCAGAATGTATCATATTACATACTTCTGTGTTTCAAAAGAACAAAAGTCATTTCTCCAGGACTGATATAATGAGAGCCAAGCAAGTGTTGAAAGTAGCAAAAGGTTGCAAAGGAACTGAATGAGGAGTAGTATCAAGCAACAGAAATAGAGAAAAGCATGCATCAGAAAGTAATTTAAAGATTAGATCACTTTTCCTAATTCAGAAAAAGGGCAAACGAGTATACAATAAACCCAAAGCATTAAAGAAAATGCATGTAGTATTGGAGGAACTTTTCAGATTTCTAAAAGCATCAGAATAGAAATGGTGAATTACTGCAAATATACTTTTAACTGATACATTTTAAACACATTGTAAATTCAATTGCAAGAATCCAAAGATGGACTGTTAGAAAGACAAAGAAAATATAACCAAATTTAATTTCATAATAGGGGCTTTTTATGTCTTAGAGGTGACAAATACTGCTAGATTCTTAAGAATAAATTGTCTATGCCAACATAAACAGAAATTACACTAGAGGGGATCTGTATGACATGGGATATAAAAGAAAAAATTCCCAGGAGAAAGAGAGTATATAAGCAAATGAACAAATAAAGAACTGTCATTCAAAGTAATAAATACATTTTGATGTTAGCAGAAAGCTTCTCAATCTGTTTCTTTAAAGAACGACATCTTTGAACTCCTAACAATTTCCATTTACGTATGACCACTTCATGTGAATAAAGTGTTAACATGAAGCTAACACAATTTGTTTTTCTCTGTTACAAACATCAAAAAACAAATTTGGTAACTTACAGGCTATTTGAATGAATTATTTGAAACTGACAACAGGCCTATAGTGATACTGAGGCTATAATGAATTTTATATTATTTTAAATATTGGATTTTTTTTCACAGCAAGGAGGAAGAGTATCACCTAATAATACAGAAAAAATCACAAATAGGTAAGAACCAAAATATTTCTTCAGGATGAGCACTTGGGTTCTAGTACATAAAAAGAAGTTGGATGGAATGGTTTAGATCAACTCTCCTTTACAGCCTTGCTTCCTAGTCACCTATTCTGAAGTGCACTTGATAAAAAAGAGAACTTCTACTAAAATGACCTTGTGTCTACACGGCTTACTTCCAGATTACAAGACTCATCTTGCATCACAGCCCAAGCATATGCCATACAACTGGATATATGACAAACGCAGAGCAATTGATTACTATGTTTATACCTTCATAAAAAAGTAAAATTTAAATCATCAGCATAGCCAAACATAGGATTTGTTGGCTGTCACTCATTTAAAAACTTATTGAGGCTTTAGTGTTTTTAATTCTATTAGGAAAAAAAAAAAAGCAATTCCAAAAAGAACCATAAAGGAGTTGATGTCATTAAACATGAGGAGGCCTTTCTGTTTTAACTTTCCTTACATATATACACAAACTCAGTTTTACCCTGAAAACTGACATCTAGGAAAAAGTCCATTTTGTAAGCACCTACTGAAAAGAGAACTTTCTGTAGTATTGGCTGACAAAACATAGTTTATCTAAAACTCTTAAAATTATTACAAAGCAGTCTTAATACAGCTCCACTTATTTTTAAAGTTTCTCAAATAGAATATGACACCCTCGCCTCTTTCCAAAAATAGTTAAGTGGAATATTTTAATAACTTGTTCGTGTCTACAGCTCCCATTGATTATGATATCGAGGATATTTCATTTTGAGGTCTAAAATTTCCCCTTCTTTGTGACCAAGGGGTAAATGAACATTTGAAGGGGTGATATGCAAGGTAATTTTGAGCAAGGTAATCTGCTATGTGACATAAATTTTGGCTCTGCTCTCACACTGAGGTTTTCACTCCGTAGACGCTTGCAATCTAAATGGAAAGAATCAAAACTTGGTCTTGGATAAAGGAAAGATCCAATTTGTGTCTGTGTCTTCAACATAAATACTGAATAGTAGTATACAGATTGCCTGAAACCACTCAGACATTCTTCATTCCCTGCAAGCCCACCATGATGGTTTCAAGCCCATTCAGACATCTGTCCACCGTTCACTGCAAGCCTTCTTTCAAATGGTCACTTCCTGTTAGAAGTTTAAACTATGATCAACAAATTTCTTTCTTTCTCCTAACTCAAAAGTATAGTTTTCTCCTGAAAGAAAAGGCACTATCCAAGATTTACCTCTGTTGTTAAAAGAGGTAATGTGTACATTCTTTTCTTTTTGACAGAAGCACAATTATTATATTACCCGGAAAGTTCTACCTTTAAAAGTTATAATATCAACATTTATTTGAAATCTTATTGTAAAACTGAAATGGCATCCATGTTTGTGTTTTATTTTCACAATGACATCTCAAGGTCTTCAAACGGAAGACTATGATACAAACGGCCTGCCTTCACCGTGCTGCAATTCCTTCAACAGGTAACTTAACTAGCCTGTGCTATGTATTCGTACTGCACATGGATGTCACTGAATGACTGTGGTGTCTCTTCCAATGCATACCTATATCTAAAACCACACTGTTAGCTTGCAAATTTTCTCCCTTCCCCTCTCCTCCCTTTGGGAAGATGCCCACTCCATCCCCAAAACACCTTCCCCCAAAGCAAGGGGACGCTCTGCACTCGGCTGTCATTTCGAGGGCTGGGCGCGCATGCGCGGCGCCAGCGGCCCGGCCCCGGCACCAGCACCGCAGGGTTTTGGCAACGCGGGTCCAGGGCCCCAAGTCTAGCCCAGTGTCAGTGTGGGATCGCGAGCGGCCCGGTCCCGCCGCCTCAGGTTGATGGCAGGGCGGGTCCGGGGTTTTAGGTTGATCCCAAGCGGCAATGCAAGATCGCTAGCGGGCCGCGCGAGCTTGGGAGGGTGACGGCCGAGGATACTGCGGCGTGCGGGGCGGACACACTCACAATTTCAGCATCCACTCGCCCTCCATCACCAGCGTCCAGTTGGAAGCGGTCATGGGCTGGACCCGGCTCTGCTCTGCCGGCAGCGCGGCCTGATCGGGGCCTGCCGTAGCCGTCGCCGCGGCGACCCAGGCAGCCAGGAGCGCCGTTAGCTGCGAGCTGCAGCGCCCACCCGCCATATTGGGCGCGGAGCGAGGCTCCTCGGCCGGGAGTGTGGGGAAAGTCAGCGGCCAAGCCCTCAGCCGCGCTCGCCCGCCCTGGTTTTTCAAAGCTGCCGGAGACGCTGGGGCCACCCCGCCTACGCCCGGCCGCGCAGACTGGCGGTGCTCGCAACGCCGCGGCGGACGCCTCCTCCTGTCGTCGCTTGCCCGTCGTGGCCACGCCCCCTCCCGCCCACTTGCCGTTGCCCGGGGTGTCGGTTGCCTCGGCAACCGCCGCCCTTTCTTCTGACCGCCAAGCTGACAATAAACAGATGACCCAATGTTGCCTAAGTTAGAACATGCAGCGCTGCTGCTAAGGCTCCAGTAAAGGCAGGGTTGGCACGTGTGGGCTTCTCTAAAGGGAAATGTGGCCAGTAATTTTAAAATCCATCCCCTCTTCAATGACAGCAAAAATAAAAGCAGCGAACTGCAAAGTACACGTATGTTTAATGAAAAATGAAGGGACGTGGTGAGCATCTCTTGCTGGAGAGGAAAATTTACTCTCTGCGTGTGTATATTGAAGTATCACTAATTGAGGATTTGATGAAACTAGGCTATGCACTTGCATTGTTTGTTTTTTACAAAAAGAATGTTAATTTTATAGAAACTCTTAAAAACATGAGTCCTATAACCAACAAAATCAGTCAGTTAAGACTATTGCCACCTGCAGTAAAATGGACCTCACGTTTCTCTTGGCTATAGTTTTGTCAGATCTAAAATGAGGGTAGCCTTAAGTGATTTCCAGTTTTCCTTCCAGGTCACATTAGATGAATCTGTACCTTGGGACCACCATACCGTTAATATGTAAGACTGGATTATAATGAGAGGATCAAGAAGCTTTCTCAAAGGGTGCTTTTTATGTGTTTACTAGGTGTGCAAACCATGAACCTCGGTAATGTGGTTAATAGATCATGAAAAGGATGTGGTTTCTGCCCTGGGCTTAAAACAAAGAGAAGCTATGTGACTAAAAGTACTTCAGAGCACATGAGAGCAAACTTCAATCAGTACTTATAAGAGAGGAAAACTGATTTTGCCTGAGGAGAAGATCTAGTCTGGATTATGCATTAATTAGTATTAGCTAAAAACTGTGTGGACCCAGCCCTTATCATTAAAATAAAACACTCTCAAGGGTTTACAAATTATTGGAATTTAAGAAAATGTTTTTGTAGTGAATGCTACTAAGACTCACTGTTACTAAGTACATACACATCAATCCCATAAACTCGATGGAAAACATTTTACTGTGCTTGTAAAAAGCAATGATTCATAAACAGTAATTCTATCATTCTATCACTTTCAGTGCAACTTTTTTGTATGGAATATGTAATTGGTTTAAAAAGTTCTTTAAAATAGCATCTGATATTAAAGAATTACTATTAACTTTGCTGAAGGTGTAAAGATGTGATAACTATATTTTAAAGGTCTTTATTGCGTATAGATAGTGAGATATTTATGGATGAAGTAACATGATGTCTAGAATTTGTTTTACAATACTCCAGAAATAAAATGTAGGGAATGGAGGGAAGATAGGTGAAAGGTAAGTGACGCAATGTCAGTCTGTGTTGAAACTAAGTTCATTTTGCTATTTTTACCTACTCGTGCATATGTTAGAAAATTTACAAAATGAAAAGCTAAAAAGAAAGAGCATCTGCAGCATGAAAGATAGCCGTTACGGAAGCACTTCCTGTCTCTAACAAAAGTTGTGGGGTTTAAGGATTGCGTTTTTTGGCCTTCTGACTAACGATGGTAGCAAGAAAGTGTGGGAGTGACCTTGTGGTGAGGAGTCACAGACCAGGGTAAGGGAGCTGCTGCTGTCAGACTGCGATTGGCATCTCAGCCCTGACACTTCCTAGCTATATGATTGGGGCTAAAACGAGTTAACACCAAAGTTGTGTTAAAATGCAGGTAGTGATAGAACTGGTCCAAAAAGGTGTCTGTAAAGATTATATTAGATAAGAATAATATGCTGACTCAAAAAGCTTATGTACTAGGTTGGTGCAAACATAATCGCAGTTTTTGCCACAACAATATTGCCAACATTAATATCATCATCTGGAGACAACAATATGCTGTAATGCCTCTATTTTTCCTAAAGTCAAATTCACTTAGTTTGATACACAATGACAGTACAGCTTCAATTTTGCCCACTTTACATTTCACTGTTCCCACAATTCCCTGTGTCCTAGTAACACAAAGCTACTCCCCATTCCCAAAGCACATTGTGTATTTCAGTGTCTCCTTGCCCCTATGTTCTGCTTGGAACACTCTTCTTCTGTTGTCCAGTGAATCATTCAATCTCTATCATGTAGCCCACACTGTACCTCCGATAGCTCATGCAGAATGAGCTGCTGTCTCTTCTCAGATCCAGTTGCTCTTCTGTGTAACTGATATGGCTTGGCTCTGTGTCTCCATCCAAATCTCACTTTGTAGCTCCCATAATCCCCACATGTTATGGAAGGAACTCCATTACACAGAGACAATTGAATCATGGGGGCAGGTCTTTCCGTGCTATTTTGTGATAGTGAATAAGTCTTAGGAGATCTGACGGTTTTATCACAAATTTCCCTGTCCACAAGTTCTCTCTCTTTTGACCTGCTGCCATCCATGTAAGATATAACTTGCTCCTCCTTGCCTTCCACCATGATTATGAGGCTTTCCCCACCATGTGGAACTGTAAGTCCAATAAACTCTTTTTCCTCTATAAATTACCCAGTCTCAGGTATGTCTGTATCAACAGTGTGAAAATAGACTAATACAATAACATCACCATATACCTTTCATAGTGTAATGCAAATATATGTAGTTATCACCCTCTACCCTCACTCCTCCAACCACTCTTAAAAACTCTTCAAGGTAGGGCCGGGCGCGGTGGCTCAAGCCTGTGGTCCCAGCACTTTGCGAGGCCGAGACGGGTGGATCACGAGGTTAAGAGATCGAGACCATTCTGGTCAACATGGTGAAACCCTGTCTCTACTAAAAATACAAAAAATTAGCTGGGCATGGTGGCGCGTGCCTGTAATCACAGCTACTCAGGAGGTTGAGGCAGGAGAATTGCCTGGACCTGGGAGGCGGAGGTTGCGGTGAGCCGAGATCGCGCCATTGCACTCCAGCCTGGATAACAAGAGTCTCAAAAAAAAAAAAAAAAAAAAAAAAACTCTTCAAGGTCAAGGGCTTTGCCTTATATATCTTTGTGTCCCCTGTATTGCAGAATACCCATCCCATAGGTGTCCTTGGGATAGGCAGCTTCTGACACTGCTCCTGAGATCTCTCCCTCCTGGTATTCAGCCCCTGGGGTGATTCTTCCCTCTTGAGTGTGGGTTGGGCCTGGTGACTCACTTCTAACAGAAGATGGGAAAACTGATGTGTTATCACTTCTCTGATAAGGTTACGAAAACCTGCAACTTCTGTCTTGCTGGAAACTTCTTTTCCTCTTGCATGCTTACTCTGTGACTCTGTGTGGAGAGTTCCATGTGACAAGGAACCAAGGGAGGTCTCCAGCCTGAGGCCCTGAGACCAGCCCAACAGCCCTCAAAGAACTGGATCTTCAAACAACCACAAGTGACCTAGAAGCAAATCTGTCACCAGTGCTCTTGAGACAAATGAGCCTTATAAATGACCCAGAACCCGGAGGCACAGCTTAGCTTAGCTGGGACCTCCACCCACAGAAACTGTGAGGGAATCAATATTGCTATATAATATTAAGCCACTAAGATTTGGGGCAATTTGTTATGTTGTAATTGATAGCTAGGCCAGTATGTGACCCATGTTCATGTTTAAAACATGGAATTACAGTTTTAAGAATATTGGTACCTGGTACCAGGAGAAAGGGTTTTTGTCCCCAGAGTAATGGTGGCACTGCAAGACAGCTTTCGTTACACAAAAATATGTGGTTCCTGGTAAGCAAAGGAATTCCTAGGACTCTGATGAGATAACATCATTAGCAGGAGAGGGGGGAAAGTGTGGTAGATGCATATCTAGCTCCCTCTCTTTCCCTACCCCACAGAGAAGTATGCTCCTACACCTCTTAGAAGTTAGGTATATTTATATGAATAGCTCTGGCCAATGGGCTATGAATGGAAGGGGTGGGTATGTATCATTCCCAGGGTGAAGCATTTAATCACCAGCACAGAATGTCCCAGTGTGCTGTTCTCCTGCTGTGGAAATTTTAGAGAAAAGATCATGATCAAAGAGTCTACAAAACCAGAGCAACCTAAATTGTTCAGCTGCCTCACGGAGAACAGCAGAACTGGGTGGTTCCCTGATTCTTCAAAGTATTTTATGGCTGGGCGCGGTGGCTCAAGCCTGTAATCCCAGCACTTTGGGAGACCGAGGCGGGTGGATCACGAGGTAAAGATATCAAGACCATCCTGGCCAACATGATGAAACCCCGTCTCTACTAAAAATACAAAAACAGTGGTGCGTGCCTGTAATCCCAGCTACCCTGGAGGCGGAGGCAAGAGTATTGCTTGAACCGGGGAGGCTGAGGTTGCAGTGAGCCGAGATCGCGCCACTGCACTCCAGCCCTGTCAACAGAGCGAGACTCTGTCTCAAAAAAAAAAAAAAAAGGATTTTACATAGGCAAGAAATGAATTTTCACTATGATAGACTATTCAGGTTAAGTATTGCTGCCTAACTAACCACCCCAAAACTCACCTCTCATGGTTTTGGAGGATACAGAGCTCAGCTGGGCTATATTTGCTTGTATTCCTTTATACGGTGGCAGACACCTGAAGACCGAGGCCAGAATTAGTTGAAGTCCCTTTCACTCACTTCTGGCTCTTAGTGTAGGTTGGCTGGAACAGCTGGGGACTGTACAGGCATTACTCTTACCCATGCATTCTTTCTTTCTTTCTTTTTTTTTTTTTTTTTTTTTTTTTGACATGGAGTCTCGCTGTTGTCACCCAGGCTAGAGTGCAGTGGCACAATCTCGGCTCACCGCAACCTCCGCTCCTGGGTTCGGGCAATTCTCCTGCCTCAGCCTCCTGAGTTGCTGGGATTACAGGCGCGCGCCACCGTGCACAGGTAATTTTTTGTATTTTTAGTAGAGACGGAGTTTCACCATGTTGACCAGGATGGTCTCAATCTCTTGACCTCGTGATCCACCCGCCTCGGCCTCCCAAAGTGCTGGGATTACAGGCGTGAGCCCCCGCGCCCGACCGCCCACACGTTCTTTCTATGGGGCTAGCTTCGGCTTCCTTCAGCATGGCACTTTGAGGTCTGTCATACTTAATTTCTCTAGAGCAAAAGTTTCCAGAAGGTCAGATGGAAACTGCATTGCTCCAGAGGTCTAAGAATGGCATTTCTACCTCATTCTATTAGTCAAGGCCCTGAGGACACCCCAGACTAAAGGGAAGAGGAATTCGACTACCCTTTAATAAGAAGCAACAAAATGAATTGCAGCCATGCCCTATCAAAAGGCCACTCTGAAAATCTGGAATTGTCACTGCGGCATAATCTAGCCTGTTTTGACTAACTCACTGTTTTCCTTTGACTACTTATGTATGGGCATCTGAGAGTTCTTTATTTTGGAGGGGAGGTGATATTTTCAGAGAGCAGAGTAGCAACTTCCTCTCCCTTTTTACCTTCTGTAAAATGATTCTCAAGCCTGATCCCTTGGTATTTAAGTGCTCATCAAATGTTACAGAATTTTTGTTAAGCTTATTCAAAAAAGATTCGAAA